TGTTTGTGTCATCCTGTGCAAAGGCCACAGAGGGCTGGCACCTTTGGCTACTCATCTTTGCACTCCTATGTAAGCAAAAAACTGAGTTTATAAAGGGCTCATTGTTTCTTTACTGGCTGAATCTGTCAGCCTGAATACGCCTTGTGCTCGACAGTTTAAAATATATAAAGAACTCTCAAAACTCAATATTAAGAAAACAAGCAACCCACCTAAAAATAGGCAAAAGATCTGAACAGATAATTGACCAAAGACGATATGTGAAGGGCAAATAATCACATGAGAAGCTGTTCAATATCATTAGACATTTGGGAAATGCAAATTTGAACTTCAATGAGATACCACTACATATCTATTAGAATGGCTAAAATAAAAAAATACAAGTGCTAGAGAAGATGCAGAACAGTTGGAACTCATATTGCTGGTGGGAAGGCAAAATGGCACAGGAATTCTGGAAAAACAGCTTGACAGTTTCTTATAAAGTTAAACATACAATTACCTTTATGACTGCAAAATTCCTTGCCTGGGTATTTAATCTCAGCAATCAAAATGTCCTTAAGCAGGTGAATGAATAAACTGTGGTACACCCATACAATGGACTCTATTTAGCACTGAAAAAGGAACGAGCTATTAATTCACACAACATGAATGAATCTTAAATGCATTTTGCTAAGAGAAAGCTGTTCTTAAAAGGTTACATACTATATGATTCCATTTATATGAGTTCCAAAATGAGAAAAATATAATAACAGAGAACATATCAGTAGTTGCCAGTGGTTAGAGAAGCAGAAATGATGTGACTATAAAGGGCATGAGGTAGTTTTTGGGGTTAATGAAACTGTTCTGTATCCTGACTGTGGTGGTTGCACTAATCTATATATGTGCTAAAATTCAGAGTACCAAAAAAGGCAATTTTATCATATGTATATATACCCAAAACAAGCAAATTTGCTGTATGTTCATTAAAAACATAAAATTTAAAAGAAAGGGAGAAGGAAAAAGAGAGAAGGGAAGACTGTTATAAAAGATATAGAAGACAATACCAAAAAATGCAAATTGTGGACCTTGCCTAGATCCTGATTTGAACAAACCAACTACAAAAGGCATTCTTGACACAACTGAGAAAACTTTACTGTTAATTTGGAACTATATTTTAAATTTAAGTTTTAAAATTATGATAATGGCCTTGTGGTTACAAAAAAAAACTTCAGTTAGATATATCAGTTAGATACATATTCTGAAAGATATATGTGTATGAAATAGGATCATGTTTGGGATTTGCTTCAAAATTATTGAGAAAAGGGGCTTCCCTGGTGGCACAGTGGTTGAGAGTCTGCCTGCCCACGCAGCGGACACAGGTTCGTGCCCCGGTCCGGGAAGATCCCACATGCCGCGGAGCGGCTGGGCCCGTGAGCCATGGCCGCTGAGCCTGTGCGTCCGGAGCCTGTGCTCCGCAACGGGAGAGGTCACGACAGTGAGAGGCCTGCGTAATGCAAAAAAAAAAAATATTGAGAAAAAAACGTGAGGGAGATCACTGGCAAATGTTGAAGCTAGAGGCTCATTACACTATCTTCATTATTTTTGAGTGTGTTTGAATTTTTCTGTAATTTTTAAAAAAGTTTCTCATGGGGCTTCCCTGGTGGCGCAGTGGTTGAGAATCTGCCTGCTAATGCAAAGGACACGGGTTTGAGCCCTGGTCTGGGAGGATCCCACATGCCGCGGAGCAACTAGGCCTGTGAGCCACAACTACTGAGCCTGCGCGTCTGGAGCCTGTGCTCCGCTACAAGAGAGGCCGCGATAGTGAGAGGTCCGCGCACTGCGATGAAGAGTGGCCCCCGCTTGCCACAACTAGAGAAAGCCCTCGCACAGAAACGAAGACCCAACATAGCAAAAATAAATTAATTAATTAATAAACTCCTATCCCCAACATCTAAAAAAGAAAAAACTTTCTCGTGATAATGAGATTTCAAAAATAGCATAAAACTCCCTTTCAACATTTATTATAAAGCAGTAGACGTGATAGGCCTACAGTTGGCTTCCATCTCAATGTCAAATCTTTCCAATGACTCCAAATAAATAAATGCTGTGTGTGCCAAAAATAATACTGACATATGAAAAAAAACAGTCTCCTAGAAATCTTATACCTTGAGCAATAAACTACTAAAATTACTAGATTAGTAAAGATTTGCAGATAGATTTTTAAAACAGCAAATCAAAACAGCTTCTTCTATATATTGTCATTTTCAATGACAACATCAAAGAAATAAAGGGCAAAAATAATTTTAAGGCAATAATTATGATTCTAAAAATCTCAGCCAAAATCCAAAATTACTCAGGCTTTTTGATTCTCATTAATTATTTACACAGTGTGGCTTTCTTGCTGTGTTGGTCCAGTCTGTTCCTTTGAGCATTATTATTATTTATCATTTCTTGAGCACTTAGCACTGCATGAGATACAGATGATAAATTCCTTCCCTAGGGGACAACTATCAAAGCCATACAAGCAAAACACTAAGATAAGCTATTTAAGAAATGAAAACTAAATAGAAGGTTAAGGAACACATTCTGAGTTCCCTGTTTTGCTTTTTGCTGTAAGCTCATGCTACAACACTTGCTTCTTTTGGGGCTGCAAAAGAAGACTGAATTTGCAAGATAACTAGCTTAGAAGAGATAGAAAACAGATCTCAGGGATCATTCCAAGAAAATATCCTACCTTAGAAATCCTTTCACTTTCTGATATAGAAAAATTACAAGAACCTATTCCTAGCTCTAGTGGACCGTAATAACTTTGTGCGTGTGTGTGAGTGTGATTAAGGGCTGCCCAGCAGACTTTCTGTTCCCTTTCTTTTGATAATACCACTCTCTGCTTCAGGAACTGCTTCCCCCAGTCTGTGTGCTCCTGATGAGACTGTCAATTATAGTGCACCTTTCCCCACCTTATAATGATATTGTGCTGAAGGATGTAGGTCTGGAGCAGTCCAAGGTCATTTTTACAGGCCCTATGATGAAATTTCTCTGCAGTGTGCATTAGGCCAATTTGCAAAGAAAAGTAGAAATAAACAGATATAGTGTAAGTGCTGACAGTCCTGAACCTCAATCAGGCCCTTGAGACCTGAGTTCCTACAGTTCTTTAGATTGTGTGAGCTACTCTACAGTTCATTTTAGCTAATAGCACACTCAAAGTTTTTGCCTAGGATAGTCTGAATTGGGTTTCTTTGTCATTTGCACCTGAAGGAATCCTGAGAAGTTAAATAATTTGCCCAAGGTCCAATGGCTGCTAAATGGTAGAGTCATCATTCAAACCCAGGTTTGTCCACCTCTACATAGCAGGCATTTCATACTATGTTACTTTACTGTTTATCCTACAGATGTTTAATTCCTAAAATCTAGTTTCCTTTAAGCCTGGGAAAGGGGCTGGGGCTGGGGCTGGACCGGTTGGTCTAATTCTCTATTGTTTCCTGTTAGTAGGAGTGAGGTGAAAGTGGCAAATACAATAATATCTAATAAGAATTTATTTTAACCAATTTTGCATGGTATTTACTGAGCAAGGACTCAAGTTGTCAATCATACAAACTCCGACTCAAGAGCAAATTGAAGGTATATAAGACTAGGATAGAATGGTATCAAAGTATTTTCTCTACTCTCTGCTCTACCCAGTTGTAAAGACTGCATTAAAAAACAATGCTTAGGGGCTTCCCTGGTGGCGCAGTGGTTGAGTCTGCCTGCTGATGCAGGGGACACGGGTTCGTGCCCCGGTCCGGGAAGATCCCACATGCCGCGGAGCGGCTGGGCCTGTGAGCCATGGCTCCTGAGCCTGCGCGTCCAGAGCCTGCGCTCCGCAATGGGAGAGGCCACAACAGTGAGAGGCCCGCGTACCGCAAAAAAACAAAAAACCCCACAATGCTTAATACCCACAACACCAAATAAAATGTTTAGGTTCTCTAAGTTAAACAAGAATACACCTATTTATTTCCATTTAAAAACTACTTTATTCACTGTCTCAGCAATATATGCAAAGAAAAACAGGTACTAAAATGATGCTAGCAGTTTACAAATCAATGGCTTATTTTTTGATAATAGTCTCAAACCGAACGTCGTTTCCTCACTTTCCTACTTTAAACGTTTACTTTATTTCCTTTACTGCCTTTATCATTATTTGAAATTATTTTGTTTATTTACTTGCTTCTTACCTTATTTATTACAACTTATTTATTCACTTATTAGCAGGGATCTTGCCAATTTTTTAAATCATATTTCTCATCATATTTTTAACAGCCTGGCTTATAGATGACACAAAGTATAAATCTGTTAAATTAATTTAAAAATTACACTGCTCCAAAATAAAAGTCACTGTTTTGATACCTATAAATACACCAATATCTTGAAACTAAAGGATGATGGATTATTCTGTGTTCTCCTAGAAATTAAACTGGGATGGAAATCTGTTGAAAGCCCAGGGGTCAGTGGTTGAGGCAACCAGTGGCGTTCACTAGTGGGGATTTGCTTAGCTGAGTCTAGTGATTCTAAGGCCATAAGGTAGGAAGGCTTCCTGCTTCAACCAGAGCAGCTCTTCACACAACAGGATTTCACAAGGACTCGGCATAAGCTTTGGCTTGAAGAAAGTGTTTCATTACTTAAAAACAGAGGTTTAGGATAGGGTGGTAGAAACCACTGTTCGGGGGAATTTGGACTAAGAGATAGCTAAACGTATTTTGCATTGTAAATTATATTTATTTTTCCTTTTTAAAGTCAATATGCTGTAAATATTATTAATCCCATTTTTATAGTATAACAAAATTATTTCTGCCTCAATTTTAAAGATCTAAGTGACTATGCTCTTTTAGAATTTTAAGGATAAATGAAACATTAAGGCTTCTAGAATCAGAAAATCTTTGCCTTTTAGCTATATAAAAAATTAAAAGTTAAACCTTTTAATTGGAAAGGTTTAGGATCCTACCAACCTTGATAATGGAAAACTTTAGGATCTTTCTCCTCCCACTGTGTTAATCTTGTATTTGTATTTGATTTCTTTCTCTGTAGAGAGAACATATAAAAACATGTTTAGTGTTCCCTCCCTTTCCAGGTTGTATTTTATCTTGAGTAGATTTAAAACCAGATTAGTTGTAATAGGATTCCAGGATGTGGGCAGATGTCTACTTGTCACTGACGATCTCTCTTGCAATTAGCTCCTTCATTATTTCATTGGTACCACCATAGATTGGCTGAACTCGGGCATCCACATAAGCTCTGGATAAATAAGAAGATGATTGAATGAATAAACAAAAGATATTAGAAATTATAAATTTTGTCTCACCAGGTAACTATTAATTACTTTAAAGTGTCCATTTAATGAAATCCAAACAATAAAAGTTCTTCGTAAATTCCTTTTTTTTCTGTATGGCATCCACCCTAGATTGGTATAATTATAAAATTCTATTAAGATATTGATCATTTGTATAGTTTTGTTTTAGCCTGCTTGAAGAGATTACAAATTCAAAATAACATTTCTAAGTATGTTTCTTTTGATTTAATTTTGTAAAATTCAGCACATATAATAACATTCCAAAAAGGGCAACTGTAAATTTAGAAATGGATGGAATGTCTTAATATCTTGTTACCTTTAATGTTTCCCCTCAAAAGTTGAAATCTACTGGTTTTATAAAAAACAAAAGAGAAAAGAAAGTACATATTTTCTAACATCCTTTAGATTCCCATCACTACTGCTGCCATCAGCAGTATAAACTGATGCTTCAGAAAATATTACTTCACAAAGTTAACAAGTAACTTATTTTTTGGAAATGATTAACAGTCACTCCAGTAATGTATGAGGTTGAAATACTGAGTGGCTGAGTATACTGCCATAAAAAAACAAGAAGGAATTCACTTTTGACAGCAACCATAACACTATATAGTTGGTTTTACCTTTTCTCATGTCATTTTATCCTCTCAGCTCTGGAATTAGGGAGGATAAATATTATTATTGTTTTGAAGGTAAAGGAACTGAGATGCTGAAAAGTTAATACATATACTAATTAATGGTTGCTGTTTAATGGTCACATAACAGATCATTGGCAGCCTGGAATTAAAAGGTAGGTATCCTGCCACTTTGGCAAGTATCTTTTTTATTACATCTCAACATTTCCATTGGCCCAGAAATGTAAGATCAGTTACTGAGCTTTGGACTTTTCTAGTAGACAGATTCAAAGGCATTTTTTTCAAGCATTAATTTTTTTTAAATTTAATTTGAGACAAATTAAATGTGCAAGCTCTCTAGGAACATGACCAATTCTGAACTTTTCCTTGTCCACGTTCACCATGGTACCTTACAAACAGTGAGCGCTCAGTAAATATTTATTGATTTGATTTCTTGTATTACAAAGGAATTTTAGAGTCTCAATAGCTACTTTCTTATGAAACTTGAAATCTAGAGACATATGTGTTTTCAAATATATTTTTTCTTTTGAACAGATTCCATTGTTGCCCACAAAATCTAGCACTCTCATTTAGAGGACTTACCTGGCATTTCAGCCTACTTCAGCAATCTCAATGCTTTTAGACATTTTTGGATCAGGCTGGGCATATTTTTTTTCACATCAAAGAAGTTCCAATGGAGTAGGTAATTGACAGAGATCAGTAGCCCTTTTATAGGTTACTAATTAAATTCAGTCATCAACTAAAATTAACAGAGAATGGCAGCAGAAGGAATGTTTAACCCCACAGTGATGAAGCTCTCTATCTCAGGCTGCTCTTCCTAGCACTGCAGACAGGTCTTGAAATTGCAAAACTTAAGCCTCACTTGTCATAGGCACAAGCCTAATGAGTAAGACTGAAGTAAACTCACATGCTTAAGACTGGTTATTTTTAAACAAACAGAAAACAAATAAATAAAATAAAACCAAAAGGCAAAAAGCACCTCTTTGATCTGTGAAACCAAGACTCAGCAACACACACACACACACACACACACACACACACACACACACACAAATAATATAGCTTAATCTTAGGATATAAAAACATAATTAGAATGATTTTTTTTCTATCTCATCAAAGTCTGTACACTTCATCCACATACTGCCTAATGTATCTAATTAGCTTTTTTGATATTATCCTACTACTCTCTCTCCTTATCTTATGAAAAATTCCTTCCCTATGTCTTTGGGGAGAGAAATAGCAGTCTAGTTAAAAAATTCATACAGTCTTCAAACCAACAAGCTGGCCAAGGGGATTATTATTCCTGAAAGGAAATGTCAGTCTCTCAAACTGAAACTAGGGATTTCAAATAAGCCATCAAGTTACAATTTTTGCTTGCTATTGACCTGATGGAATTGCCTCTGAGAAAACAGAGACCAAGACTTATGCTACGCTCTAATCTTGGACCTTGTAGATGGTTGACTCCTCTTCACCTAACATGCCTTTCTTAGGAACCGAACCAAACTAGACAAGCACTGAGCCATGACATGTCTACATACCCTGCAGCAGTTATAATAGCACAGTCAAGTAGAAAAATATAAACACCCATTATTATTTTACTTTCTTAGCATTTTGAATATTGTCAATAAGGTGGATTAATATTATGAATAAAACATGAAAACACACAGGAAAAATTCCAGAGACGATTTGATTTGTGCTAGCATAACTCAGTGTTTACTTTGATTTCATGACTATACAAAGATAAAAAAAAAATAAATCTGCTTTTGATTAAAGCCTGTTTGAAGTAGTTCTGGAAGGATGTACCGAAATCCAAGTCCAAGGATTGATAAAGAAAAGGAAATCATTTAGCTACGTCATGCCTACATTCTGAAGGAAGGAAAAATCCTACTTGTTGCTGAGTTTTTATAAAAGGTTATAAATTACATACACCCTGTGATTAAAGCTTTCTGAGCTGCCCAGTGGCTACAGAAAATTAGGAAATTATACCTAACAGAAGCTCTATGCTGGAGCTTCTAGAGCTTCTGTTTTTAATGTAACTTGAATAAATGTTCATTTTCCTCATTAAGGACTATAAGCAAATCAGATGTTTTCAATTATGCTTGCCAAAATGATAAATTTGAAAGTCAGTTTCAATACTAGTTTGATAATTTTTCTCTTTTAGATACTCTGTATTTAGATTAAAATTATAAGAAGTTTTTGGAAGCTCATAGCATTCTCATTCTCAGATTCAAAACTAAATTGGACTTCTCTCTATATAGCAAAAACTTCCCTGAGAAAATTTTATAAACTGAAAATATTGCCAAATAAGAGGAAAAATATATCTTCCGCTATGAGGAAGAGAAATGCCATGGAGAGATTACCGAGGCAAAAGACTATAGGAAGAGGGAAAGAAGAAATTATGGAGACGGAGGAAGAAATATGGAAGAGGATGCTGCCTACTGACAAACTGGTACTGCTTTGAAATGATAACAACAATATTCACATGTAATACAATAAAAAAGGCTATATTTAATTTATTTTAAAGTTGAAGGAAGTACAAATTCTACTTAGAAAAAAATAATACTTTTGATTTATTTTTAGAGCAAAATAGACAATAAAAAAATTAAGACATGACAACTTAGATCCTTTTTATATGCAGGTTAATTTTTCTATAATGTCTATTTTTTTTTTTAGTTTTAAAAAAGTGATATTTTGAAAGAAGACATACAAATGACCAAAAGGTATATGAAAAAATGCTCAATGTCACTAATCACCAGGGAAATGCAAATCAAAACTACAATGAAATATCATCTCACACCTGTCAGGATGGCTATTAACAAAAAAGCCTAAAGATAAGTGTTGTTGAGGATATGGAGAAACTGCAATACCGGCACACTGTTAGAGGGAATGCAAAGTGGTGCAGCTCAGCTGCTAGGAAAAATAGTATATGGAAATTCATCAAAAAATGAAATAAAACTACCATATGATGCAGAAATCCCACTTCTAGGTATTTATTTGAAAGAATTGAAACCAAGACCTCCAAGTGATGCTAGCGCTCACATGTTCAATGCAGTATTACTCGAAACAACCTGTATGTCCATGGACAGATGAATAGATAAAGAAACTGTAGTATAACATATAATGGAATACTATTCAACCTTAAACAGAAGGAAATTCTTCAATATGTCACCACCTGGATGAACCTTGAGGACATTCTTCTAAGTGAAATAAGCCAGTCACAGAAAGACAAATACTACATGATCCCACCTATATTAGGTAACTAAAACAGTCAAATTCACAGACTCAAAGAGGAATAGTGGCTGCCAGGGGCTAAGGGAAGGGAGAAATGGGGAGTTACTAATCAATGGGCATAAAGTTTCAGTTAAGCAAGATGAATAAGTTCTAGAGACCTGCTGTACAGCACTGTGCCTACAGTTAACGACACTGTATGGAACACTTAAAATTTTGTGAAGAGGGTAGATCTCATGTTAAGTGCTCTTACTACAGTAAAATGAAATAAAATAAAACAAAATAAAATAATTTATAGTCAATGTAAATTAAAGGAAGAATAGTAACCTATTTTTTACCCATTAGATTCACTTAAAGTTTAAAGGGCAATAACATTCATAGCTTAGGAGGAGAAGTCATCCTTAGACTTTGTTCATTTGAGTATGAGTTGCTTCAAACTGGAGGAAATGATCTGGAAATGCATTAAAATTTAAAATATGCATACTTTTGAACTAGCAGTACTACTTTTGGGACTTTGTCCTGTTGTAATCAAACACACATGTATCTAAGATAAATGTATGAAGGCGTCTATTGCAGCATTGTCACAGTAAAAGTCTAGAAAAAACCTGAATAATTAACCATAATCAATTATAATAAAATATTATTCAACAATAAAAAAGGGATATTAATCCCTCTGTATAATGATTCAAATAAATCTTTAGTATGTTATATATTTATATTTATTTACATTTATATTTAGTATATTGTATAACGCAGTACATCTTCACTTTTTGAAAATATGACAAAATCCTAGTGGTGAGCTGATAACATGAAGCTGTTTCTACCTACTTGAACACACTCCATAGTCAGCTGAAAAATACAAAGATTTTGCACCTCCTTTCCCTTTGTACTCAATGGACAAATGACAGTTAAAGAAATTTTCCTTTCTCTTCACACCACCCAGAAGAGTGTAACACAACAGGCATACTCACTTTGCAATTGGGTACTCCCACATGTATCCCCAGCCTCCATGCAGCTGCACGCAGTCATAAGCTACACTGTTCTGTAACTCAGATGCCCTAGATGACCAAAATAAAAAGCAGAAAAGGAACATCTGAAATAAATTTTCATGAGATGCTTTACAATCAGGAAACAAATTATTTATGATTGTTTAAATGCTTACATTTATCAAACAATTAAAATTAGGCATATTAGCGAACCAGAGAAGATTGATATAAATTCCACGTGAAATAAATCTCAAGAGAATTTTCATATAACAAATAACTTTCTTCATCAATTATACTTCTGGCTGGGTTTTTGTTAAGTCTAGAAATAAAATGTAGAAAGCTTAGACTATTTATTAAGTGTTGGCTACCTTAAGCCTGAAAAGTATATAGTAAAAACTTGAATTTGGTCTAATTTATGCAGATTCTCTGTGTGATCTAAGTTAACGGAATAATTATACAGTCATCTATTTTCTTTTGCCTTGTGTAATATGTGTTTTTTTCTTCAAATGTGTCACTTCCTACCTAAAGGTTGCAATTCTGAATTTTAATAACTGAAAAAAAATTTTTTTCAGAAATAAACTGAAAGTAAAAGTGAAAACCTGAGAGGGCAGACCTCTATTAAAGTACCTACTATCATATAGGAAACTTATTAAAGATTATTTAGGAATTATTATTCCTGAAGTATATGTATATTAACATGAGGTGCTTGAGAAATACCCTTTTCTGACCTTATCACAACAATTTTAACTATTATTAAAATCCATGAGATGGTTGGTTAGGAACTTTATTCATCTTAACATAAAATACAAGTTAGTTCAAAATCTTTTCAACTTACTTTCAACAGTGGGAAATATAAAGAAAAGGTAAGCATAGACACATTTTCCTATAAAAAATAATTTTTAACTCAAGCCAGGTCAGGATGCTCCTGAGAAATACAGTAACAATATGATGATTAACAGACAAGATTCAGGGGGAAACGATATTTGGAATTCTATACATTTTTGTATTTGGTGAGTATTTTAGTAAAATATTTGCTGGGTTAAAACTACTTGCTCCCTCTGCTCCAATATGAAATATCAGTATGTCTATAAACCTGGTGTTTTCAAAAAACAATAAGGCCAACAGCTATCCAAATATCTTTTTCCAAAAATATCTTATCTAAAATATTTTTACTCTTTTTCCCACTAGTCAAAAAACTTGCTCTAAATGTAAATGTAAAATGTCTCCCCCAAAAGTGCAAGTTTCTAGTAATTCCACATGACTTTTCAACCTGGCAACTTTATTATTTTGGAATCATTACATAAACCACTATGCTGCATATTTCCCCATTCTACTTCTGACTGAACTGAGCACAAGTTAATGAATAATGACAGGAATTTTTTCCAGGTTATTTTTGGGCTAATGAGATGTGAGAATGTTTGTTTTTAAAAGAGGAAACAAAACCCATTTCCAGAATTTGATTTAAACTATGTTCTTAAATCTTAAAATACACAAAAGCCTTATAGGGTTCTTTTTTCATTAACACATCTTTAATACCATTGCTAATCATCTTTAATACAAATGAAAGTCATTCTATACTACATTTTTTTTTCCTTTTGCTTAACAGAGCATGTACAATTTTTGATTGGACAGTCAAATCTTCAGAAATTTTTCTTAGATATGGAAAACATCTTAAATAGAAAAATCCTGCCCAATCTACTCATTTCACAGATATCAAAATGTTGGCCCAGAAATAATTTAATTTAATTGCAGTTATTTAATGAAAGAATTGGGACTCTATCTCAGGACTCTAAGTATTACTGTAATTTTGTGATCTCACTATACTGCCACTCTTCAGATAATTTGAGATTAAACTACTACTTGTGAACTAATCAGTCATCCTATTTTAGTCTCTTAATATTTTACTTTCAATGGCAAGCTAAAAGTTAAAAACCAACTTGAGTAAGCTTTAGCACGTTATAAATTTATATGTTTAATGGGGCCCCTTCAGCATTTTTTAAAAAGGTGGTTCTTATTGCTTGTTTTCATTTACTTAGCCTTCTTCCTTTAAGATCCTCAAGGCTGAGTTTCAAGTTGGAAGAATTCCATAACAATCTGTGCAAACACCACATTTTAATTACCATAGCATGCATACCAATATTTCGCCATGGAAGCAGTGGCAGAGTCCAGACGTTTCGTTTCATGCAGCTGGAGACAGCTGTCCACAAAAGCTCTGGTTACACAAATGTGTGTTTTTAATTCTGCTAGCTTATGCTGCACCGTCTTGAGTTTAAAGGAAATGAAAGGAAAAGATGAGCATAGGAGAGGAGCATATTTTGAGTCACTTAGCATATCAAAAACTATACAGTAAAATATCTTTAGAGCAAAACAAAAGTGGAATTACTGGGTTTTTTTTCTCCAAAAAAGAGGCATATGTTAACTAAACAGCTCAAATTAAAAACCTACTATATTTCATTGCTAAGAAAACTTGTACTAAAAGATAAGATGCAGAAGTAGATAAATAGATAAATAACATTTCATGTTTTAGGTTAAAAAATTTAGACCATTTAGGGAACTTTTCGAAAAACAGCATGACTTTAATGGGTGAACATCATCTTGAGGTACAGTCCTTTGGATACAGCTGTTGAAAACACTTTTGTCCAGAATCTAAATCCATGAAGAATTTTTCTCTAGTAATGAAATTAAGTATACACATTTTCTGTTTTTTTGTCTGGGAGTAAAGTAATAAAATAAGCTGGAGGGACAACATCAAAAATATTTATTAGACATTATTATTTTATATTGCAAAGTATTTAATCTAGATCTGTAGAATTCAATGGGCGAACAACAGAATCAGAACACTCATGACATCAAAGTCCAGTAACCCCCAACCTCTTCCACCTTTCCCCACCCTCCCTCTTATCTCTCTCAATAGCTTGCACAGTCTCTAACTTGAACTGAATGGTCTGGAATTGTCAACGATAACATACATATATACCTCCTCCTGCTGGCCACAGACAACCAATAGTATTCTTGGAAATCATTCTATCTAGACCATCCTCAATTGTTCTTGATTGTTCTAACTTCAATCAAATTTTCTTGCATTCCTGACTCTTGGCTCTCACACCTTAAACTCTGAGTTTTCATGTGGTCTCTTTGGCACCAACTCTTGAACCACCTTCAGGAAACTGGCTTGAATTTAAAATACTACTGGCTTTCCACTTTGGGTAACCTCCAAAAATACACCCCGTTCTAGTTGATCTCAAGTTCAAGGCTCAGCTATGGTCAGCTGGCTCTATCTTCCTTGTGGAAGTTCAGATAGGAACAGAGTTTCGATCATTCTGCTTGGAATTTATGAGTGAGGCCTTCACTGTGGCTAATAGAAGGCATGGAAGTTAATGACAGTGGCACTAACTTGGTGGCACAGTGAAATTCAAACTAGAAATTATGAAGGCACCCAACGTACGCAATGGCAAGTCCAAAGCCATGATTGCATTCTCAAAAGAAGGCTTCCTGGACCAGATATTCAGAGGATGTAGACCTGCCTTTGCTACTTGTTACAGCAATCTCAAACCACAAAACCAAACCCTTAAAAGCATCATTGTAGTGGAGACAGTTTGGGTTCTTACCATTTCTGGAAAAGAGTAGAAAAGGAGTATAATAAGACCCAGGACCAGGCAAGACCAGGGTGTTGTCAGCTGGAGAAGGAGCTCTGAGGGACAGACTCCTCATATGTGTATCAACATAACTACTATGCTGATGGAAAACCCAAACTGACTGCCTTTCCCTTGGGCTTACTCCATCCTGTTCTAGAAATAGACAATGTGACTGGCATCTAATGATTCTAAAGCCAAGCAGTGGGGAGGCTGGCACCACACTTTTCCACCTCTTGTATCCTGGCCTCTAATTTAGAACATGCCAGGTTTACCAAAACTTTCTTCCTCTCTCATACTTTCTCTTACTTTTTCTACCTCCCTTTCTATCCATTTCTATTTAATGAGGCCAAATCTCTAACCTTTAATCAGCACAAAGTTTCCCACCCCCACCCCACACATCCAAGTGTACTCACAGAAGAATCTGAAGATGTAACAGGAAATGAAAAAGCGGGGGAATACCCTTCCATATATTGAACACAGATGACTATATATTCCATGAAAATCCCTGAAACTGAGGTCTTAGCTTACTCTTGGTGTAGGTCAATGACACTGCCCATGACACTTCATTTGGAACATAAGGGGGAATCTGACAAGTCTTAAGATACTATTGCACACCGCCTCCCCACCCTGCGATGGCACATTTGAGAACTTACTATTTACAATATGAGAGATTCAAGATCTCTAAGCCCAATTATCTCATAGGAGAGGTGTTTCTATGGAAATGCTAGGAGCTTCTAGAAGCTGAAGTTAAATTTCAGACCAGAATGGGCTCATTTAGAAAATTCTTGCTTCAGTGCATTCAGGTCCACAGGTTTGACAGAATTAATGCCAGCAAGAGTGCATAAGTTACTCTCGGGGGGATAAGAGATAAAATATTTACATACTCTTGGCATTGAGTTGGGTGTTACCAAACAGATTTAGTCTTTGCTCTTCACTGCACACACTGCATCATGCTTTCAGAAACTGTTCTCTAATGAATGGTAGGTAATAATTGTACCACACATTATTAGCAGGTGCTTTTGGTGAATGATCAGCATGCTCACAGCAATATTTTTTAACATTCACTAATAGTCACTCATAGGTAATACTGCAGCTAGCATTTTATTAAAAAAAGTTTCCCTAAAGTTGCAAAGTGGATCAGATGGCATCTCTTTAAGAGTTCTGAATAACACAGTTCTTAGAATCATAGAATTATGGAATTGGAAGACCCCTTGGAGAAGTTATTGATCCCAGTATTCCATTTAAACATCACCATTAGGAGTACTCTAATATATTACAACTCAAGTATAAACTACAACAACTTAGGTTTGCTACCTGATTTTATAGTTAATTAACCCCACACTTAAGGTCTAAGAACGAAATATTCCCTTTTTGGAGAAATGTAAAGAAGAAATGTTATTTGTTGCCTCTCCTATTTTTTTCCTAATACTTTGTCCCCTTAGAATCAAGAGCACATACTACACAAGAAATAACTAAAGCTTGTGTTAGAAAAGAACACTGAACTTTCACTTCATTGTCCATGGGTGAAAGAGGTGAGAACAGAAAAAGTCTATCTACCTTAGATTTCTGGGTAGTAAAACTAGTGAATGCATTAAGAGTGTAAGTTCCAGAGTGCAAATACTTTTTTAATCTTGTGCATGTTATTTAACCTCTTCATGCCTCAATATCCTTATCTGTAAAATAAGGATAAATATAATATTTATTATATGGAGTTGCGAAGAAAAAAAGACAATCCATTTGGCACAGTGCCTGGCATATAGGGAACATCAATCAATGACAGACATTATCATTATTTAATATCTGAATTTTATTATTGTATTGTCCATTCCATAGAAAATCATGAGACTTGACAGCAGCTATGGAGCGTATGAATGAGACAACATGAAAATCCTGTAACTATCGCAACTTAAGTATGGTAGGTCTCCGTTCTAAAAAGAAAGTAAATTTTAGGGACTTCCCTGGTGGCGCAGTGGTTAAGAATCTGCCTCCCAATACAGGGGACACAGGTTTGATCCCCAGGCCAGGAAGACCCCACATGCCGCGGAGCAACTAAGCCCGTGGCCCACAGCTACTGAGCCTGCGTTCTAGAGCCCACGCACCACAACTACTGAGCTTGCGCTCTAGAGCCCACTAGCCGCAACTGCTGAAGCCCACGTGCCTAGAGTCCGTGCTCCGCAGTAAGAGAAGCCACCACAACGAGAAGCCCGCACACCGCAATGAAGAGTAGCCCCCGCTCGCTACAACTAGAGAAAGCCCACGCACAGCAATGAAGACCCAATGCAGCCACAAATAAATAAATAAATAAATAGCATCACAATTAAGTTAAAAACTCAAGATCTACTAAAAAAAATTTTTTAAAAAAAGAAAATAAATTTCGTGAAACGCATCCAAGTGGTCAGAAAGGCTCAAAATTCAAGAATATCAAAGAGAAAGGAAACTGAATCGTTATATGGTCATAAAAATGAGATTTGGCCAAATATAATATATAATATTTAAAGGTCTCCTATTTCAATTTAATACTGGAACCATTGTATATCCAGCTCTGTAACAGGAGGTATAAGCACTTATTGGTTATTCATCTTCTCTGAATACATATCTAGATTGAATATGAAAATATTATTCAAAGATACTTATTTATATAAACAAGAAGATTAGAAGAAATATCTCAGAAATCTCAGAACCACATATTTACCCGGAAAACAGTGCGGCTCCCACCAATGCTATAGATACGTGTGGAAGCAGAATGCTACTGCCACCTAGTGAAATTTTAGTAAACTACCTTTGAAAGAAGGCAGCAATAAAATGGCACTTGCTTTGAAAAGGATTAAGAATATTTCTTTTCTTTTTGCTATCAAAATACATATACACACATATATAATTAAATAAATAAATATTTTGGAAGAAACTTTTTCTCCTATGTGTAAATATTATACCGATTTTCTAGTTTTTTTTCATGGTTAAATGTCAAATAACATTTAATGTTCTGAGCTATACAGGCAATCTCAGTAATATTATAGTCATTTTTGTTGTGATTTTACATGAAGTTCATAAACGCAGGAAGTGTAGATTACCAAGGGGATGGAAAAATATGTCTGTTTCGCTCACTTTTTATAGTATCCAGGATAGGGCTAAAGGCATAATAAACATTTTGAGAAGCAAATGACATTAATTCCACTTCGGATACAGTTGGGAAAGTCAGTGATACCAAGTGGTATCACTCTCTTTGTGTTGCTAGGAGGTTATAATGTGTATTTCCAGAGTCATGCCTATCAAATTACGTTTGAACACACAACCTTCAGAAGGCAATCAATACATACTTGCTCAGTGAAACAAATCATGTATATCAACATTTCTCAAAATGAAAAGATTACATGAAAAAGAAATGTAATTTATTTATTGGTAAAAAGATTCGTGCATCGATAACAAAGAAACAGAAATATGATTGCTTTATGGTAGCCTAGTGTAATCAGTTGTACTGCGTATGATTTATAAGTGTTTGTGTGCATTAAGTTTTGATAAATTTAACTTTTCACAACGAATTTTATGGTAGTAAATGATAAAATTGACTAGTATCTACACATATTTTATGCATTCCCACCATACGTTTATTCTTAATTTTTTCGATATTTCTAGGCTAATACAGTTCGCCTGCACATTTTAAGTTGCCACAAATCTCCAAAAGTTTTTCCAATGTATTTATTGAAAAAAATCCACATGTAAATGGACCTGTGCAGTTCAAACCTGTGTTGTTTAAGGGTCAACTGTAATAGCTAACTTTAATGAAAGCTCACTTTGCCAGGCAATATTCTAAGCACTTTATTAGAAGCGTATTATCTCACCTAATCTTCATAACAACTCTGTGAGGTAGCTACTCATATTAGTCACATCTTAACAATAAGAAAGTACTTCTGAGAGAGATAATACAACTTGCATAGACCACAGAGACTTAAGTAGCTGTACTAGGATTTAAACCACACCTGAACTTAACTTCTATAATGCTGTCCTAAAAAGTTACCAAAGTATTTCACCTTTCCCTTTCCCTTCACAACACCTTTCAGCCAAGACATTCCACTTAGAAATTTTCAATTAGACTTCCAACTCCAGTTTTTTTGATGACTGCATTACTTAAAAGCTGTTCCTTCATTTTAAGGAGAGACTAGAGGGTCTAAAATTTGATTGATATTTTAGTGATTACGGCTACCATATACTGAGTTCTTCTGCAAATAACTTAAACTTCTTGGCAAAACCCAGGAAGTTTAAACACAATCATCCACCTTCTCTGTGCTTGAACCTGGGGAGCAAAACCCTTTTAGTAAAGCTAGTACACAGAAAAGCAGAAGGTTCCGCTATAAGTGCATGATCACTAACCTGATTTGGGTCCTCAGTACTGTCAGGAAGCTTACTGTAAGTGTCTCTAGTTAGTTCAGTCTCTCACTCTGAAGAAGGTATTTCAAACCTTCCTTACCTCCATGCCCCATTCACTCACATCTCTTTCTTCCCTATTGATAAGGAAAGATATGGAAGTCTCTGGAAGAGAGCTTTTGCAATTTTCTACCCACGGAGCTGAACCCTTGCTCATCCTTTCCTCTTTCCTTCCTGTTTTAGTGGAGGAAACTCCTCTCCTGTCAGGATGGGAAGGCCTATCTTTCCATGTATTGAAACTTTGGCATCCACATCTTCACACTGTCTCAAAGATCATATGCAGTTAATTATGCTCTCCAAACCTACAATCTTTCCCTCTTTACTAAATCCTGTGTCTAGGTATTAAAATATGCTCTAGCATTCTCATCCTAATAATAATAACAAAAATTAATAATCTCCAAATATTTCACTTGGTCTCCAAATACTTCCCTCCCTCCCTCCCCACCCTCCTCTTCTTGCCTTCTAGTTACCATATCCTTTCTCTCAGCTACTTCACAGCCAAACTCAGGAAAGAGTTGTCAGTCATCAGTATCTTGACTTCCTCATTTCCATTCACTGCTCTGCTCACTGGGGTCTGGCCCCACACGAGTCCATTAACGGCTCTTATGAAATAACCTCCATATCATTATGTCCAATGGGCACTCTTTGACCTTCATCTCATTTTCCCTCTAAGTAGCTTCCATCCACTTGAAACCCTCTTTTCTCTTGGCTTCTACAACAATACTTGCCTGATTTGCTTTCTCCTTTCTAGCTGTCTCAGCTTTCTTTGTAGGCTCTTAGTTTCCTATTCTACCTTTAAATCTTGTAATTTTTTTCTCAGGACTCTGTCCTAGGATCTCTTTTGTCTTAATCTCTACTCTCTCCCTAAGTGATCTCATCCACTTCCATGGATTCTAATGTCACCGTGGATGAAAAATGTTGCCTGCCACATAGATAAACAATGGATGTTGCAGCCATCAAGCCAGCAGCCACTGCAGCGGCCCCCAAATGTGCACCCTGAGGGGAGTCAGGATGGAGAAAAGCAGGATACTGGCCCTAGATAGTTAAGGTGCATATCAGAGGAGTAATTTCAATGAGCCCAGACTCTTGGATCTTCCCATACATAGAAAAGTGATAAATTCATTACTTTGAGAAGCCTGGTTTTCTTTAATTAAGTGATCTTTTGATGTTCCGACCACCTGGTTTCTGTTGCAAGACTCCTATGTACCCTGGCTCCTCCCTTACCTCTTTGGAACAGTCCCTCAGAGCTATCTGAGAGGCTGTATTTCTTGCCTACATGCTTAGTGTTGTGCACCAAATAAAACATAATTCTCAACTTTTAAGTTGTGCATATTTTTTCAGTCGATACCACCTGTATGAAAATTACTCCATATTCATGTATAGCCTAGACCCATTTCAGATGAGTAAACTGATACTATCTAATACTAATGACAAGCTTACCTGTATATGTGCGATTGTTTTCCCAAAAGCTTTTCTTTGTTTAACGTAGTTCCTGGTTTCTTCAAACATGAATTCACTGGCTGAAACTGCCAACTCAGCAATCAGTAGCCTTTCCTATAACCCCAAAATTAGGTCTTGAACATTATTCTAATTACACAAGTGATTTTCACATGATTTCAATGAAAATTGCATAATCTTTATAAAACTCCTAAAGATTATTTCTTAACTCTTTATAAGAAAAGACTCCCCCTGAGATTTCTAAGACTATTTTGACACATATATGTCTCTAAAAACATTTTAATTTTTATGAATGACTGTCTTTAAGTAATTTTTTTAAGTAATGACTGTCTTTAAGTAATTACTGTCTAAGTAATTTATTTTCCTCTTCTCTTTACTCATCTATGGGAAAAGAAATTCCAAAGTTGTCGATTTTTATTTATTGATCTCTGCATACCACACATCTAATATACCTGAGGAAATCAACATTTTAAAGGGCATAGGTTGAATTAGTGCAAAGCATCCATAGTCAGTTTAATTCCATCTTGCTGGTGATTTTCATATTCTATTCTGTGCCAGTGACCCTAGTCCTTGTCCCATTTCATGTTTAGTGCATGCTGTGATTGTCACCAGCATGCACTGGTGACAATGCATCCTCTTATGCTGACACGCGAGGCTTAATAATCACTCAGCAACCACACTCCAAAAAACCAGTGAGGGCTGACCCTATGTGGCTAAAACTTTTTAGTCTGAACTTAACAGCTTTCTTTGATTCCCAGGTATTATTAAAAAAGAACAACCCCCCCCCCCCAGAAAAAAACCTGGTAGATATTTTGGCTGATATTTCGTTACAAAGAGCTAAACATTCTTGATTTGTAGTTAAGACACTAAAATCATTCCAAGAAGGAATCATAGAACTGTAAATCTTATTTTCCTGATTCACTTATAAGCTTTGATTGGATATCCCTGAGTTCAGTTATTCACATGTCCAGCCTAAAAAAGTCATATATACTTTTTTACAACTTCAAGTTATACTCAAATGACTGGCTATATCACAAGTTTTGTATGCATGGATTTATACAGTTCTGTATTATTCTATTCCAGTCCATTATCTAATCAAAAGACGGACTCTTTAATACTTCTGACCTGTGGAAGCTCTTGCATGAGGTAATAGAAGCCTTTATTCTCTTCTCCAAGTAGGGCACGTGCTGGCAAACGTACATCTTCAAAGAATAATTCTGCAGTATCCTAAGAGATCATACAATTGAATACAGAATTATCTCACTGAAATCTCCCAATAACCTGATGAGGTGATTATTATTTCCATTGAAAAAACAAAAACAAAACAAACTGGAAGCCAAGTTGGAGTGGTTAATGATCACAACTGGTAAGTGGTAAACCAGGGATTCAAACCCAGGTCTATCTGATTCCAAAATCGGCTTTCCCACTGCAATACGCTGTCATTCTAGCTCTAATACCGCCCAATTCTGCAGGTACTGAGGACTAAGGATTTCTAATGCATATCAAGTAAAACGTGTTTTTCTTTTTGGTAATGAAAAATTACCAAATAATTACCAAATAGTAGAAAAAATATTTTCTGTTCTTATTTCATAATTTTCTTCAATTTCAAAAATAGAGGGTATTATCATGCAGTTAATTTTCTAAAGCAGATTTTCAAAATACCCTGATTCACTTCAATTGCTGACCACAGTTGCATAAACAGTGGAATAAATTTCCATAATCATTTCTGAAAAGCATATTTTAAGAATCCAGCATAGGAAGGAAGGTATGATTGTGCTATATGTAGTTCTACATATAAAGCATAATTGAGTAAACTCAATTATTTATAAATAATAAATATGAATTATATTTATAAATGATTTATATTATGAAAACAAATTTACATTATGACTTACCTGGGCTTTTAGTCCCATTTTATGTAGCTTTCGTCCCTTGACAAATCCTTTCATTCCATTTTCTACCAGAAAAAGGCTAATGCCATGGGCAGGAGAGCGAGCGTCACGATTTGTGACTGCCACTACGATCACAACGTCACTTAGCCACCCATTAGTGATGAATACCTGAAAAACCCCAAGTATACTGTGATGCTCCACAATAACTCAGGTCCATGTGTAAGTCATGATCAGGCGAAAGTATACTCAAGAAGACTAAACTGGACAAAACATGCTTCATACCTCTCTCTGTACTCTCTCTGAATATCTGCAGTGTTGATTATTCATACATGAGGTTATTAAAGAGTAGGGGGAAATTATCCAATGCTTCAAAGAATGAACTCTATTCATTTTCTTCCCACTATTAGTATTGTAAATAATTATAATAATTAACATTATTATGTTCTTTTCCAATTAAAACAAAATTGTCTATAAAAATGATAAACCATATTTTAGAAAGAAGTTTCAGGTGAGAAAACGGAATCTCCTTTGAATGGCACGATACTATTAAAGTATTTGTACTTTCAGATTTATCAGTCTTTGAAAAGGCATAGTTTCGATTTCATGATGGATGGCCTACCTCTTTCCAAATGGCCTAAATAAGGAAGATGCTGATTAAGAAGGGATAAAATAACAGAGATATTAGTTTATCAGATAATATTTATTCAGAAAACAAATATACACAGAGCAAATATGAATAATTATCTTTTCACTCTGTATCTTTCCTGGGTCCTCTCAGCCACTTTCCAAGGCTTTAGTTGCTATCCATATGCTGATGACTCCAAATCTTTATCTAAGCCAAATTTCTTGCTAGGTTCCAGACCTGTATACACACCTGCTTCTGGATAGTTCCACCTGATGACTCAAGGAATACCCTACTCCTATTTAATCACCCCTACTCCTATTTAATCTTGAGTATCAATCTATTTTCCCTGTGTCAGTGAACGGTAAATCACATTATTATCCTGCTTCATATTCAATTTGACATCTAGTTCTCTCTAACCCATTTCAACACTTTTTAAATCCATTCACTTCCTTTCACTTCTATTGCCATTACCTTATTTTGGGCCTCATCATTTCCTGATTAAGTTCCTACAACTGATCTCTGTGCAACTCTATTATCCATCATGATGTCAGAGGGATCTTTCAAAAATGCAATCTAATCATACTACTTTCACATCTGAAAATTTTTGAATACCTCCTCATAGCTTCAGGATAAATTCTAAATCTTAGCAGGGCATATAAAACTCATCACAAATTGGCACTAGCTTACATTCCTGCCTTATCTCTTATCCAATTTTCCCCTCACTTGTTTTCTGTAGGTTAGCTCTACTGCATTACTTGCTGTCCCCCATATTCTAAGGTCTTCCTCATCTATGGGTCTTTGGAAATCTTGTTTCCTCTACTTGGGGGGCTCTTTCCCAACTCTGCTACAATGAATCCTACTCATCCTGGACAAAGTTCAGACATCACCTCTTCCAAAATGTCTTTCCAGGGAATTCCCTGGAGGTCCAGTGGATAGGCCTCCACGCTTTCACTGCCGAGGGCACAGGTTAATCCCTGGTCAGGGAACTAAGATCCTGCATGCCACGCAGCGCGGCTGAAAAAAACAAAAACAAAACGTCTTTCCAAATTCCCCAAGCTGGGTTAAGTGCTCCCATAGTATCCTGAATTTACCATCATCTTAGCATTTTCCAAGCTATATTCAAATGATCTAATTTTGTCTCTGTCCCTTTGAAACAGTAGAGGTATAAAATGGTGTTGGTTACTCTCATCACCTACCATCCATGTCCTTTATAATAAGATTTATGCTCTAAAATCCAGAGCATTGATTCTTACAAATAATGGGAAGTGGGCCAATGATGTTAGTGTTATCTACATGACAGCAAATGAAGGCAATGATGATGGTATGGTTGTAAGTGACAGAATAATAAAAGACTCTCAACATCTCTCTGTACTAGGAGCTCCTTGAGGGCGGGGACTATTTCCTATTCATATATCTATCCTCAGTGCTTAGTATAGTATTTGGCATATAGGAGGCCTTCAAGGATGTTTGTTGAATAAATGAGAAAAATATATTCCTCAAAAATAATTCTAGGGAATTCCCTGGCAGTCCAGTGGTTAGGACTCTGCACTTCCACTTCAGGGGCACAGGTTTGATCCCTGATCAGGGAACTAAGATCCTGCATGCCACACAGTGGGCCAAAAGAAAAAAGAAAAAAATCATGGTAAAAATTTTTTCTACAGTGTTTCTCCATTACACCACTCTCTTCCTCAAAAACCATTCAAGTCTTCCAATTTCCTAACTGTTTAAGATAGTAATGACCATTTGTGTAGTTGCCACAGTTGAATTGCTGAAATAGTGCTTTTTTGCTTGTTTTTAATCACAGAGCACCCAGGAATTAGTACCTTTATGTTACTAATATCTAATGTGAGTATTTCTCCCATGACTGATCCTCTTTCCTAATAAAATTATAAGAGAATTCTCTTTGTAAGAAAGGGCTTCCTTGATTTCTTTCCTAATTATGACAGTCAAAACTTTTAATAGGGCTGAGATTAATCCTAGTGAGGTCATTTTTTTTTTATTTTTATTTTATTTTTTGGTATTGAATGCCTAGGCCATACGCTCTTTGTAGGTGTTGTGTAGATAGTACATAAAGAAAAAGTGTTATAAAGAAAAAGGGAAAAAAAAATCTTCCATGAGTCCATCATATAAATATCATTGTGAACTTCCTTTCTGGTCTTTTTTTCTTTTAATATAGTTGAAATTATTCTATATTTACATTTTATATGCATACTTCACTTAAATGTTAGTATCATCTTTTCACTTAATATAATTATTTTCCTATACCACTAAAAATTTTGTGTTGATGCTTTAATGGGTGCATATTAGATCATCTTATTGATGTAGTATATTTACTTACTCATTCTTTTACTTTTGCTTCCTCTAAAGTTTTTGTTTTTCCTAATAGAATTTTTGAAAATCAGAGGTACTTTCCTGGGTGGTTCCCACCGAAGAGTCTAATTGAGCAGACTGGGCCTGCTTAGAAAGCTGGAGTCATAGAAAAGCGTGGTTCCCATTTCACTTTTGACCCAATACCCTATTCTTCTGTCAAAACAAGCCTTCTGTGTGCAAAGAGTTAATTGACTATACATCACAGTTAGTGCTTTATTATAATCCTTAGTATGAATAATGTAGATGAATATTTCATAAAGTATATTTGAAAAACAACAGTAACTCAAGAGAGTCTATAAAAAGAGAATTTCCTAGGGCAAAAGACATACTATATCCAACTCTTAGAAGTTCATGATGCGTATCAGCCTCTCAGAAAGTGAGAAGTAGAGCATGTTTTCCAAATTTATTTGAAACCACAGACATTGTTTTTCTGTGTAATAACTATAAAACTAGATAATGGAATGGTCTTTAGAACTGGGCTACTCAAAACGTATTCATCAGACTGATGAACAGTTTGTCAGTCCACAAACTGTTATTAGTCCTTAACAATGTAAGTATGGAAAGTGACTGTTCAGAAAATTTCATAGCAATTTAAGTGTCACAACATTCAAGCTTGTGATTTTGCAAATGCAAAGGTATTAGCCTAAAACTAATAAGAAATTTTTGTTAAATGTCGAAGGAAAAAAAACCAAAAATTAGTTCTTCACCAGGCTTTGAAACATTTTTAGCAAGATTTCCTTAGTGTAGACAATGAATATCTTTTCCTCACTTAATATTCAGTCAACAACAAATAGTTACTGAGTGTATATCACAGTTTTAGGTAAACAAAAACCTCTGCCATCAGTGATATTAGATTCTGAAGGATATATTTACTTCTGAGCCTGTCTGTAACCTTAATCAGAGGTGCTCTCCAATCTTATCAGTGGGTTGATGTGAGGCTCAGAAAGGTTGAAGGGCTCTCAAATTCCATCAGAAATATCTTTCCTAAAATCTTTTGAAACTCTTCTTGATATTTATTTATAAGTCTTTTCTTCCACTTCTCATCAACATCAAATTCATTAACTATTAACTATTGTTTGTCCCCTATTTGGACAACGTGACCCTCACCTTTTCCTTTTCTGGTTTGATAAGGACTGTTTGGAAGCTAAAACGTTTTTCATATTAGTGAGGGGGCATACAAAAGGAACATACAAGAGGAACAGATCTCACGTAATATAAATGTTGTACAATTCTTACTGTCTCTAAAACAAAGCAGTTCAATTCCTGTGCCAACTCAAGTAAACTCAGTTCCTGTGTGAGTCTCTAGATCTGAGAGACTCAATGATGAGTAGCCTTTGAGGCTTTGTTACCCACAGCATGACTCCGGGGAGGAGGGCTATGGAAGCCCATCTTTACACACCTTGCTTCCATTGAGAATCCAGTCACTTCCATCCTTTCTGGCATTTGTTCTCACTCCTTGCAAATCACTATAATTGAGAGGATAAAAAATTCATTAATTGGTAATAAATGAACTATGCAAATGTTATGTAAGTATGTATCTATTGTGATAATTCAAACTGGTTACACCATTATAAAAATTGACATTTAACTAATATTAGGAACATTCACACAAATGCACTGAAAAGTCATGTCTGACATATGCTAAACTATTTATACAAATGAATATTTGATTGAGATTACATAGACTAACCAGATTTTATAGAGCATAACAAGGCCCAACTAGCAACCAAGACCCTCAAACTGGACTCAGAAGACATTTCAATGCCTACTATATACCTCAGATTATTTGCCCATGTACCTTTCCTGCCTCTGTTCACTTTGGTTCCTTCCCCTATCTCTACTGTTCAAAAGTTTAGCTATTTAAAAGACTATGTCAGAAATTCCCTGGTGGTCCAGTGGTTAGGACTTCATGCTTTCACTGCTGAGGGCCCAGGTTCAATCCCTAGTCAGGGAACTAAGATCCCACAAGCCACGCAGCAGCACGGCCAAAAAAAAAAAAAGGCTATGTCTCAAATGCCACGTCCTCTAACAAGCCTGCTCTACAAGTAGAATAGGTTATTTTTCTAGATATAAACTAAACAAATATTCATAATTTAATATGAAAAATGCAGGCAATATTCAAGACAAAGGAGAAAAATGAAAAAATTTAAAAAAACAATTTTACCTTCTGTAATAAACATTTAAAAAATACAACCTTCCAGTATTTTTCTATGGAAACAGATACACAGATATATGTATTTTTATAAAATTGGAACCATACATATGATCCTGATCTTTTAATAATATCTAATGTTTTTCTATAAGAAAACTTTTATTAGTGGCATAGAATTTCATCATATGAATTATTGTTATGATATATATTTTTAAACACACAAGAATATTCTTTATTTCCACAAATAAGTATATTCCGTCTCACTTTTTGGAAACATTGACAGCCTTCTTCATTTATCTTTTAAGAGAGACTTAAGAGAGGTTTCTTTACAGTAGGAAATCCAGCAGGTAGGATTCAATAATAGATGGTTTCAGGGAGACAACTAGAAGTGGTGGTGCATCTAAAAGATTGGAGAACTCATATCCCATCTAAAGGGCTATGTCCCAGCCAATAGGAATAAGGAATCAGAAATAAGAAAAACATAGTATTGTCAGATGTTCCAAATTTTCAAGAAAATCCAGGAATATGGATGTTTACGTACATCTTTCTGGCTTTTAAAGTTGATTCAAGGTTTGTTTTTAAATTAAATAGATTAACCAAATTAAACACGTTCCAGGGCTTCCATAGGTCCCATGAACTGCTCCATTTGTGACTACTGCCTCATGCCTTTCTAGACCTCATGCCATGGTGATACAACCACTTAGAACTCAAGGGGGTAGATATCTGATATCCTTCTCTTATACACTATAAAGTAATAAAGTATGATTTCTAAAACTAGTAATTAAGGGGGACATTGACAAACTCAATCATGACCAAAGATCAGGGAAGGGACCTGAAACCAAATGCATTGGATTCATCATGAATCTTTTAAAGCAATCTGCTATTGTTGAAGACTTAGGTAGTTTCCACTTCCAATTTTCAAAGACATCCTACAATGAACAGCATCATATATTAAATAGTCCACATCACTTATTTTGTGAAAATTTTCTGATTCTCCTTTTTGTACATGGACTTTGTATTATATATCCCATGGCACTTTATCACTCTCTGTATCATGCTAAATAATGACCCTTAGAGATAGCAGGTCCTAACCTCTGGAACCTGTTAAGTGTTACCTTATATGGAAAAAGGGTCTTGCAGATGTGATTAATTTAGGACTTTGAGATGGGAAGATAATTTTGGATTATCTAGATGGGTCCTAAATGCAATCACAAGTGTCCTTGTGAGAGAGAGGCAGAGGGAGATTACACGGACTAAAGAGGGACATTACAACATGGCCACAGAGGCAGAGATTGGAGTCATGATGCCACAAAGCAAGGAATGTCGGCAGCCCCCAGGAGACGGAAGAATCAAGGAATGGATTCTCCCCTAGAACCTCTGGAGGGACTGTGGGCTTGCTGATACCTTGATTTGGGACCACTGATACCAAGTTTGGACTTCCGGCCTTCAGAACCGTGAGAGAATAAAGTTCTGTTGTTTTAAGCCACCCAGTTTGTGTAATTTGTTATAGAAGCACAGAGAATTTTCAAGAAAACACAAATCAAGCAAGCCTTTGTGGGTATGTGTTTAAGTTGGGGATAGATCAAGACTTCTCACTGATACTTTTGCCTCTAGGTGAGAGCTGACATACAGTGGGTTGGAACTAAAACATACTGATCGTGAGCTAATAAGATGCAATCAGAATATTGGTCATTAGGCCAGTTATCTTAGAGAGTTATCTTAAAAGCAAAGGAAGAAGATTAAATTCCTACTTCTTTTAGGTCACATTTTTAGGCAAAAAAGTAAATGCAACTTTTTTTTTTTGGCCTCACCGTGCAGCTTTTCGGATCTTAGTTCCCTAACCAGGGATTGAACCCAGGCCGCTGGCAGTGACAGCACGGAGTCCTAACCACTGGGAATTCCCAACAAAACCTTTTTATCTTGGCAAAATTAAATTTCTGTATTGGCCTTTAATTATAGATTTATATCTGGGAAAGATAAGTACAATTTAAGCAAATTGCCAAGTAACACCATGGCATACTAAGACATTTAAAAATAAGCAGCACTGGGACTTCCCTGGCCGTCCAGTGGTTAAGACTCTGCACTTCCACTGCAGGGGGTGCAGGTTCGATTCCTGGTCAGGGAACTAAGATCCTGCATGCCGCACCGCAGCCATATAAATAAATAAATAAACAGCACCGACAAAAATTTTAAAATATCGGGGTCTGATCTTGCAGAAACAAGTCTTGAATTTTCAATTACTGTTTCTGCCACATCTGTAAGTTCTTCCTCTGCACTGCCTGTTTCCCATTGGCCTGTTAGTCACTGCTCTCTTCAACATAAGCCATTTCCCTGACCATGCTGGCTTGTCAAATTACTGTCCCCTCCCTATACTTTCTTTTGCCATATAACACACAATTCTGAAAAAAAATCAGTCTGTCTTTTCTGCCTCTGTTTTCTCAATACCCATCTCACTCCCTTCGAAAGTAACTTCTGCCTCTCCTCTCTCCTGAAATCACAATCAAAAGATCACCACTGGCTGCCATGACTCTCAATTCTCAACATCTCTGTGGCCTTGACATTACTAACTTCTCACTCCTCTCCTACTGCCTTTTCAAACTCACTTCCCCTCGAGCTCATGAAATAGCAGTTGTCTAGATTTCCTTCAAACTCAATCCTTCTGTCTCTGTCGCTTCATCTTCTGTACAGTTCCAAATGGAATGCAATGCCCAAGGTTTCCTTCTTGGTCTCCTTTTCATCCTTTCACTTTACCCCTTGAGGATCAGGTCCCACCACATGGCTGCTCTTGCAAATTTCTCAATTGTCAGATCTCAGTTTAAATATAACCACTTTTTATACGTCTTCCCTAGCAGTCATATCTAAATATGAGTTTTTCCCTTCCCCACCAAACACACATGCACCATGAGTCTCTAACACAGCATCTTGTTTCCTTCACAGTACTTATCATAATTTAAATATATTTGTTTACGTGTTTCTTGTCTTTCTCCTCAATAAGCACACAGACCACATCTGGTTTGATTACCACTGTATACCTGGCACACGGAAGACACTTATTAAGTAACCATCAAATGACTAAATGATTTATTCTTTTCCATTGCTTCAATTCTTTCTTATCTACGAATGGTTTTAAAGCCTATTGCCACCTCCAGCCTGTATCCAGACTTCCAAATCCATATTTTTAATAGCCTGCTGGACATTTCAATGTGAAATGTCACACCACATCTAAAATTCAACATGCCCCAAATTCCCAACATGCCCATAATTCATATTCTAACATTTTATTTACATCACACTATGTTAATATCTCAAATAAAACATAAAATACAATCTGCTGTGTTCTTATTTGTATATGATAAGGCCTTATTTTCCTACTGGAATTTGAAGTTACCTAAGGTTGGAAATGACAATGTGTTCATCTTTGTATCTGTCTTAGCATATCACTCAGAGTGTTGTATAAAGCGGGTACTGAGAAAACATTTGCTGTTAAGGCATTGCTTCCAGCATTTCAAAACCAACCAAATGTTGATTTACCTTCCAGCCCCAGGCTCTGTCATTGCTATGGCACCAATACATTTCCCTGCAGTCATCTGGGGGATGAAGTGCTTAATCTGTTCTTCTGAGCCATAGTTTGCAATATAGGGCATGACAATATCCGAATGAAGACTAAAACCTGGGCCTGTGCAATTCGAATATGCTCTTAGAAAGCAAAAAGAGAAGACATTTTAAGGCACAACATAGTTATTTTGTTCTCTTTTTAGTTCTTTGATTTCTCAATTAGAAAACAACAACAAAGTACTAAAGGTCCTATCACATTATGTGGTAATAGATTGTCTCCCTGCAAACCTTTGAAGTTTCTGAAGGTTTTCTCTCTTTTTTTTTTTTTTACTAACCTTTTAATTTCTGGCTCTAACAGTGCTCTAGCAGAGCTCAATGATCACTTATGTAATGAAATAAAAGATAAAACGTTTTAAAAAATTTACCACCTATAACTGTATTACCCTAACATAGTAACTATTTTCATTTTAGCAAATGACCTTTGCCATAGGATATACGTATTCTAATATAACTGCAGTCATGGTATAAATTTTGTACTTACAAAATTTATCACAATAAATAGCTGCAAAATATTACAAACTGCTTATGTACTACAATATACTTTTTCATTGTCCTACAGCTGGACATTAAGATTGCTTCCAAACTTGGGGAATTATGATCTAACATGGCAATGATGTTTGTATGTAGATATTATTTTTTATATTGGGTTGGCAAAAGGTTCCTTTGGTTTTTAAGTAAAAATAAAAGATAAATTTTTCATTTTCACCATGAACTCTATTGAACAACATATTTACCCTTTTGTTCCATTACCTTCTGCCATTTTTCAGGCAACTTCATAATTCCATCTTCCCAAAACTTTTTATCTTTTTGAGCAAAGAACTGTTCCAGGTGCCTTTTACAGTCTTCCAAGGAATTGAAATTTTTTTCCATTAAGAGAATTTTGTAAAGACCTAAATAAATGGAAATCGAAGGTGCAATGTCTGGTGAATACGGCGGAGGAATCAGAACTTCCCAGCCAATCTGTAAAAGTTTCTGCCTGGTCATCAAAGAAACACGCAGTCTTGTGTTATCCTGATGGAATATTATGCTTTTTCTCTTAACTAATTCCGGACACTTTTTGTCAAGTGCTGCTTTCAGTTGGTCTAACTGGGAGCAGTACTTTTTGGAATTAATCGTTCGGTTTTCTGGGAGGAGCTCATAATAGATGACTCCCTTCCAATCCAACCATATACACAACATCACCTTCCTTGGATGAAGACTGGCCTTTGGTGTGGTTCGTGGTGGTTCATTTCGTTTGCCCCATGATCACTTCCGTTCCACATTATTGTACAGAGTCCACTTTTCATCGCCTGTCACAATTTGTTTTGATAACGGAATGTTTTCTTTAGGTCTAGGTAGAGAATCACATGAAGAAATATGGTCAAGAAGGTTTTTAGTGCTTAACTTACGTGGAACCCAAACATCAAAGTGATTAACATAAGAAAGCGGGTGCAAATGATTTTTCTTTTTTCTACGAATTTTCTTTACATTTCCACTCGGCTTTAATGTATTTTTTTTCGTATTAGTTATCCATTATATACACATCAGTGTATACATGTCAATCCCAATCACCCAATTCATCCCACCACCCCAGTAGTGGGATTGCTGGGTCATATGGTAATTCTATTTTTAGTTCTTTAAGGAACCTCCATACTGTTCTCCATAGTGGCTGTATCAATTTACATTCCCACCAATAGTGCAAGACGGTTCCCTTTTCTCCACACCCTCTCCAGAATTTGTTGTTTGTAGATTTTCTGATGATGCCCATTCTAACTGGTGTGAGGTGATACCTCATTGTAGTTTTGATTTGCATTTCTCTAATAATTCGTGATGTTGAGCAGCTTTTCATGTACTTCTTGGCCATCTGTACATCTTCTTTGGACAAATGTCTATTTAGGTCTTCTGCCCATTTTTTGGATTGGGTTGTTTGTTTTTTTAATATTGAGCTGCATGAGCTGTTTATATATTTTGGAGATTAATCCTTTGTCCGATGATTCATTTGCAAATATTTTCTCCCATTCTGAGGGTTGTCTTTTCGTCTTGTTTATGGTTTCCTTTGCTGTGCAACAGCTTTGAAGTTTCATTAGGTCCCATTTGTCTATTTTTGTTTTTATTTCCATTACTCTAGGAGGTGGATCAAAAAAGATCTTGCTGTGATTTATGTCAAAGAGTGTTCTTCCTATGTTTTCCTCTAAGAGTTTTATAGTGCCCGGTCTTACATTTAGGTCTCTAATCCATTTTGAGTTTATGTTTGTGTATGGTGTTAGGGAGTGTTCTAATTTCACTCTTTTACATGTAGCTGCCCAGTTTTCCCAACACCATTTATTGAAGAGACTGTCTTTTCTCCATTTTATATCCTTGCCTCCTTTGTCATAGATTACTTGACCATAGGTGCGGGGGGTTATCTCTGGGCTTTCTATCATGTTCCATTGATCTATGTTTCTGCTTCTGTGCCACTACTATATTGTCTTGATTACTGTAGCTTTGTAGTATCATCTGAAGTCAGGGAGTCTGATTCCTACAGCTCTGTTTTGTTCCCTCAAGACTGCTTTGGCTATTCAGGGTCTTTTGTGTCTCCATACAAATTTTAAGATATTTTGTTCTAGTTCTGCTAAAAAAGGCCATTGGTAATTTGATAGGGATTGCATTGAACCTGTAGATTGCTTTGGGTAGTATAGTCATTTTTACAATATTAGTTCTTCCAATCTAAGGACATGGTATATCTCTCCATCGGTTGGTATCATCTTTAATTTCTTTCATCAGTGTTTTATAGTTTTCTGCATACAGGTCTTTTGTCTGCCTAGTTAGGTTTATTCCTAGGTATTTTATTCTTCTTGCAACGGTATATGGGAGTGTTTCCTTAATTTCTCTTTCAGATGTTTCATTAGGAATACAAGAGATTTCTGTGCATTAATTTTGTATCCTGCTACTTTACCAAATTCAGTGACTAGCTCTAGTAGTTTTCTGGTGGCCTCTTTCAGATTCTCTATGAATAGAATCATGACATCTGCAAACAGTGACAGTTTTACTTCTTCTTTTCCAATTTGGATTCCTTTTATTTCTTTTTCTTCTCTGATTGCCGTGGCTAGGACTTCCAAAACTATGTTGAATAATAGCGCTGAGAGTGGACATCCTTGTCTTGTTCCTGATCTTAGAGCAAATGCCTTCAGTTTTTCACCATTGAGAATGATGTTTGCTGTGGGTTTGTCCTATATGGCCTTTATTATGTCGAGGCAGGATCCCTCTATGCCCACTTTCTGGAGTTTTTTTATCATAAATGGTGTTGAACTTTGTCAAAAGCTTTTTCTGCATCTATTGAGATGATCTTATGATTTTTCTTCTTCTATTTGTTAATATGGTGTACCACATTGACTGATTTGCGTATATTGAAGAATACTTGCATCCCTGGGATAAATCCCACTTGATCATGGTGTATGATCCTTTTAATGTATTGTTGGATTCTGTTTGCTAGTAGTTTGTTGAGAATTTTTGCTTCTATATTCATCAGTGATATTGGTCTGTAATTTTCTTTTTTTGTAGTATCTTTGTCTGGTTTTGGTATCAGGGTGATGGTGGCCTCATAGAATGAGTTTGTGAGTTTTCCTTCCTCTACAATTTTTTGAAAGAGTTTGAGAAGGATGAGTGTTAGCTCTTCTCTAAATGTTTGATAGAATTCACCTGTGAAGCCATCTGGTCCTGGACTTTTGTTTGTTGGAAGATTTTTAATCACAGTTTCAATTACTTGTGATTGGTCTGTTCATATTTTCTATTTCTTCCTGGTTCAGTCTTGGAAGCTTATACCTTTCTAAGAATTTTCCATGTCTTCCAGGTTATCCATTTTATTGGCACAGAGTTGCTTGTAGTATTCTCTTAGGATGCTTTGTATTTCTGCGGTGTCTGTTGTAACTTCTCCTTTTTCATTTCTAATTTTATTGATTTGAGTCCTCTTCCTCTTTTTCTTGATGAGTCTGGCTAATAGTTTATCAATTTTGTTTACCTTCTCAAAGAACCAGCTTTTAGTTTTATTGATCTTTGCTATTGTTTTCTTTGTTTCTATTTCATTTATTTCTGCTCTGATCTTTGTGATTTCTTTCCTTCTGCTAACTTTGGGTTTTGTTTGTTCTTCTTTCTCTACTTCCTTTAGCTGTAAGGTTAGATAGTTTATTTGAGATTTTTCTTGTTTCTTGAGGTAGGCTTGTATAGCTACAAACTTCCCTCTTAGAACTGCTTTTGCTGCATCCCATAGGTTTTGGATCGTCATGTTTTCATTGTTATTTGTCTCTAGGTATTTTTTGATTTCCTCTTTGATTTCTTCAGTGATCTCTTGGTTATTTAGTAACTTATTGTTTAGCCTCCATGTGTTTGTGTTTTTTACATTTTTTTCCATATAATTGATTTCTAATCTCATAGCATTTTGGTCAGAAAAGATGCTTGATATGATTTCAATTTTCTTAAATTTACTGAGGCTTGATTTGTGACCCAAGATGTGATCTATCCTGGAGAATGTTCCATGTGCACTTGAGAAGAAAGTGTAATTCTGCTGTTTTTGGATGGAATATCCTATAAATATCAATTAAATCTATCTGGTCTATTGTGTCATTTAAAGCTTGTGTTTCCTTCTTAATTTTCTGTTTGGATGATCCGTTCATTGGTGTAAGTGAGGTGTTAAAGTCCCCCACTATTATTGTGTTACTGTCGATTTCCTCTTTTAGAGCTCTTAGCAGTTGCCTTATGTATTGAGGTGTTCCTATGTTGGGTGCATAAATATTTACAACTGTTATATCTTCTTCTTGGATTGATCCCTTGATCATTATGTTGTGTCCTTCTTTGTCCCTTGTAATAATCTTTATTTTAAAGTCTATTTTATCTGATATGAGAATTGCTACTCCAGCTTTCTTTTGATTTCCATTTGCATGGAATATCTTTTTCCATCCCCTCACTTTTAGTCTGTATGTGTCCCTAGGTCTGAAGTGGGTCTCTTGTAGACAGCATATATATGGGTCTTGTTTTTGTATCCATTCAGTAAGCCTGTGTCTTTTGGTTGGAGCATTTAATCCATTCATGTTTAAGGTAATTATCAATATGTATGTTCCTATTACCATTTTCTTAATTGTTTGGGGTTTGTTTTTGTAGGTTCTTTTCTTCTCTTGTGTTTCCCACTTAGAGAAGTTCTTTTAGCATTTGTTTTAGAGCTGGTTTGGTGGTGCTGAATTCTCTTAGCTCTTGCTTGTCTGTAAAGCTTTTGATTTCTCCATCGAATCTGAATGAGATCCTTGGGTAGAGTAATCTTGGTTGTAGATTTTTCCCTTTCATCACTTTAAGTACATCATGCCACTCCCTTCTGGCTTGTAGAGTTTCTGCTGAGAGATCAGCTGTTAACCTTATGGGAGTTCCCTTGTATGTTATTTGTCGTTTTTCCCTTGCTGCTTTCAATAATTTTTCTTTGTCTTTAATTTTTGCCAACTTGATTACTATGTGTCTCGGCATGTTTCTCCTTGGGTTTACCCTGTGTGGGACTCTCTGCGCTTCCTGGACTTGGTTCGCTATTTCTTTTCCCATGTTTCGGAAGTTTTCAACTATAATCTCTTCAAATATTTTCTCGGGTCCTTTCTCTCTCTCTTCTCCTTCTGGGACCCCTATAATGCAAACGTTGTTGTGTTTAATGTTGTCCCAGAGGTCTCTTAGGCTCTCTTCATTTCTTTTCATTCTTTTTTCTTTATTCTGTTCCGCAGCAGTGAATTCCACTATTTTTTCTTCCATGTCACTTTTCCATTCTTCTGCCTCAGTTATTCTGCTACTGATCCCTTCTAGTGTATTTTTCATTTCAGTTATTGTATTGTTCATCTTTGTTTGTTTGTTCTTTAGTTCTTCTAGGTCTTTGTTAAACATTTCTTGCATCTTCTCGATCTTTGCCTCAATTGGTTTTCTGAGGTCCTGGGTCATCTTTACTATCATTATTCTGAATTCTTTTTCTGGAAGGTTGCCTATCTCCACTTCATTTAGTTGGTTTTCTGGGGTTTTATCTTGTTCCTTCATCTGGTACATAGCCCTCTGCCTTTTCATCTTGTCTATCTTTCTGTGAAATGTGGTTTTTGATCCACAGGCTGTAGGATTGTAGTTCTTCTTGCTTCTGCTGTCTGCCCTCTGGTGGATGAGGCTATCTGGTGCAAATGATTTTCAACCCTTGATTTGAATGTTTTGAGTATGTCGGCTATCTTCCAGGTGGTATAACATTTATTGTTCTCAACTAATGTCTCAATTTGATCGCTATCAACTTCAACTGGTGTATCTGACCGGGGAGCATCGTCCAGCGAGAAATCTCCAGTACGAAACTTTGCAAACCACTTTTGACACATTCGATCAGTCACAACACCTTCTCCATACACTGCACAAATCTTTTTTTTGTGTGCTTCAGTTGCATTTCTACCTTTCATGAAATAATAAAGCATAATATGCCAATAATGTTGCTTCTTTTCTTCCACCTTCAATATTAAAATGGCTACACAAAAATTCACCAATTTTAATAAGTCTTTTTTTAAATGCACGCTAATATGACAGCTGTCACAATATAATCTAACAAAATATTCTGAATGAAGTTGAAGACAACTAAGTGCTACTAGAGCCATCTTATGGAAAAAAAAACCAAACAAACTTTTTGGCCAACCCAATATTTAAGAGCAGAAATACTTTCATTTTTTATGTATCCATGCTTTTAATCTCCAAGGCATTTATTGTTCCAATATACAACATCACCAAGAGTATATGAATGTGTCACTTTCACTGCAACCTTGTCAGCACTGGTTATGATTTTTCATTTTCACTAACTTTTGTACTCAAAATGATACCTCCAGATTAATTTATTTTGCATCTGATTGGTAGTAAGGATAAACTTTTTTCATCTAAAAAACCTATTTTCATTTCTTTTTTGATGAATTGCTGGTTCAAATCTTTTGCCCATTTATCAGCTGAAATCTTCATTTGTTCTTATGTATGAAACAGATACATGGGTCAATTAGAAATGAAGCACCTATTTTAACAACTTAAAAGAGGATTTTCAATCTTATAAGATTAGAAAACAGTTTAAAATCATCACTCAGAAAAGTGAACTGACGAAACAAGACTCAACTTCAAATGCTTTCATACTTACTGCTCCTCCCAAACAACAGCTGATGAGTACAAGTCCCCCCCAATGCCACCATGATGCTCTGCAATATTGACACCAAGCAGTCCTTGTTTTCCAGCTTTTTCCCAAAGCTCCCTACTCACTTCTCCAGCTTTCTCCCATCTGCAAGTAACAAACATTTTAAAATCAGAAAAATGTTTTTCATATTATTTAAATGGCCACATATTGAATTTATGAATGATTTTGTTCAGGAATCGTCCCTTAATTTAAGGTAATTAAAAAGAGGGTGCTCTCACACCCTGTGACAATAGCACGGCCCAACAAGTAAAAGAAAGATTCCTCTTTCCCAGGAAAGACTCAGTCATTGAAAAGCCTTGGACTCGTTGTTTACTCTAGCCCTCCTAACCTCCTTTTCCTCTCCATGAAAGTGCTCTCCTTCCCTTGCTGAGCAGCGACTTGCACATAGATCCCCATGGTTGTGGACCATAAACCCATTTTTTGCAGGAGAAAAAACTGGCAGTCGATTAGGTCAACATATTTTTTAACTGTATATTTTAAAACTCATTTAAGAAGCTTTGAACTAGTTTAAGAATCCCGTAATCTTACAGTATTATCCTGAAGAGTGGTTAAAATGTTAATAAAGCTCTGAACACAGTACTTTTTCTAGAGAACAATGAAGAGCATTCTAGGAAACGGTCCTTCTTGGACTTCTAACGTGCATTACTTTCAAAGAAAATGTGTGACTTACTCTGCGTGATGAGGAATCACTTCTTCTTGAAAAAACTTCCTTACACTTTCCCGGAAAATGTCATGTTCTGAAGAGAAGATTCTTCTAATTCCTATATCTGTTAATTTTTTAGCAGAAGGAGTTTCTAGACGTTCCTCCCCTCCAGAATGAGAACATCTTAAAAATATACATACATTATGAAAATTAAGTGAATTGTTACTCTTCACATCCAAATTAAAAGTCACTGAACAACATGAAAGAAAGAGTCTGAAATTTGACAAACTGGTTCAAATTTGAGCAGCAGCACTTTAGGATCTATCTCGATTGGATGAGACTAAGAAGTAGTTTACCATTATTCAACTCAGGCTTCACTTCCAAATCCCTAAAGAGGATGTCACGCCTAGAACTAATCACATGTTTGAGCTGAAGTAGAATATAGAATAGTACTGTATGGTGATGCCAATTAAATAATGTAAAATTCAAATAGTACAATAGAATAATACTGATAAGTTTTCACGTAATGTACAATTTTTAAAACAATGTAACCTCCCCCATTAATAGTTTATCCAGAGTCATACAATTTCAAATGGCAGGTGTATAGGATGCAAACTGTGTTGACTTTTATTGCCACATTACAATCTGGGTGTAAAGCAAAATCAAAGTGCCCACCAGTCTCTGTAGGGATTAGTCCAGAATTATTCAAAATCTTTGGAAACTGACCTTTCCTCTCCCCGCACCTCCCCACTCCCCATATTAAGCTTAAAAAGACACTGCTCTGTAGTTCCTTTTGTTCAATGGTCTTCAGATCGCCCCCTGCCCTGGCCGGGGGTATGCCTGAAAAGATTTTGAAACTCTGTGTACCACTTTGTACATTTTTAAGCTCACATCTAAAAAACTTTTTATCATATATATAAATATCGCCAAAAGATGTTTTTCTGTTTTGCATCATATTGTTTTGGGTTTCTCTCTTCCTTAGTTGGACCCTGACCTGATCTGATCCTATCCTGTCCTTTCCTTCCCTTTTCTTTCTCTTCCTCTTCTTCTTCTTAGTCCAGAAAAGACCCAGTCTTGTTTATTGGCAATTAGGCTATTTCAGTCTTTTTCCCCCTGAAATGGATTATTCTTTTCCAGTTTATATATCTTTTCTTAATGCAATGGACTGAATTGTGCCTGCCCCCTCCTCCAACCCAATTCATGTTGAAGCTCAGACTCCCAATGTAATGGTATTTGGAGATATGGCTTTGAGGAGGTAATTACAGTTAAATGAGGTCATAAGTGTGGAGTCCTAAACCAAGAGGCTTGGCTTACATTATAAAAAGGGGAAGAGAAAGATATAGCTCTGTGTGCACACAACAAGGAAAGGCCTAGTGAGGACATAGGGAGAAGGGGGCCATCTACAAGCCAGGAAGAGAGTTCTCACCAGCAAATGAACTGGCCAGCACCTTGATCTTGGACTATCCAGCCACTAGAATTATGAGGAATAGATTTCTGTTGTTAAACCATCCAGTCTATAGTATTTGGGTATGGAAGCCTGAGCTGATTAATACACTTAATATGTATTTTGTTTCATTTTGCTTTAGACTTATCTTTTATATACAACTTTTAGTTGAGTTTTATTTGTTAATACAATCTGAAATGTCTTTTAAGTGGTAACCTTTAGCTGAGAACTTTTAATATTACATTTTTTATACCTGGTCTGCCTTTTATCTTCATGTTTTTCTGGTTTGCTACTCTGTCAGCCAAATCATCATTTTTAATAGCTTATTTATTCATTTAGCCAACAAATACTTTCTGAGTGCCTAATATGTACTAGGAACCATTCAGGTAACTTGGGATACAACAGAGAGCAAGGGCCCCTTGCACACCACTGTAATGTTACAGTAAAAGAGACTAAAATCTACTTCATCTTATATTGAAATGACTTGTTCCAATTTCTTTATAATGCACACATTAGTCCATACTTGGGATTTTTCCTCAAGGAAAAAAATGTTCTGAGACTAGGGAACTGGAGCTCTAAGACACTGAATCATTTGTCAACGTAATTAGTAAATAATAGAGTGGAACTTATATCCAAGTCTGCCTGGATCTTAAAATTTTATATCCCATGTAACATTAAAGAAATCTCTGGAACATTTCTAAGTAAAACACACCAAGACACAGGAAAGTGAAAGAAGTGCGAGAAAGAACAGAGATTTTCAGATCAGTCAAAAGTGTTCAAGAGAGAACATGTAGAGGGAAGAAAATCAAAACACTTGGCAGTAAGTTTGTTGGAATATCCATTTTTTGTCAAGACTAAGGAACCCGTACAAAATAAATCAGTCCTTTTTCTCCCCATAAAAACCAGGAAATCTGTACTGAATAAATTGTCCATTGTTTTCCTAAAGCATTAAACTGCTACTCATCTAACAAGCTAGGCTCTAATTATAATTATTATCATTATTTTTAAAGCCTCATTTACATTATAAAAGGGAGACGGTCTCTGCCAGCACCTTCAGGTAGGGAGCTGGTTATAAATACACAATTTTGGGCCTCATCCCAGGCCAAATGAATCAGTCTGTACATTTGACACTTGAAACACACAGGGGTTAGGGACGCCCAACCTCCATGCAGTTGAAAATCCATGTATACCCCACCGTCAGCCCTCCATATTTGTGCTTCCTCCAGAGCACGGTTCTGCATCCTCAGATTCAACCAAGCCTGGATTGTATAGTACTGTAGTATCTACGATGGAAAAAAATTCCCATGTGAGTTGACCCTCACGATTCAAATACATGCTGTTCAAGGGTCGACTGTATTTTAATAACATTCCTAAGTGATTCATATGCACATTAAAGTTTAAGAAGCCTGTTATAATAAAACTAGAGTCTCTGACCTATTCAGAGGGTCCCTCAGGTCCTCCTTTTTCCAATATTCTTCCTATACTTCAACCAAAATAACTTATCACAATTGACAATGCAGAAGCAGGTATGAAAATCAGACTGTCTAATATTAAGCCAGACATTAAGGGACCTACAAAAATGTAAAACAATGTCACTCATCTCACTTCTTTTTTGGAAAAGTTATTTTTCATAAAGATGTTATTTATGTTAACATGTAATGAGTTACTTTTACGTAAACTAAATATTTGTAACATTTCCCAGTTTTGTAGATATCTATTGACATCAATGTCCATAAATAAAACTCACATAAACAAAAGATCTTGGAGGTCCTCTAATTTTAACAGCACAAAGGAGTCCTGATACCAAAAAATTTGAGCATCACTGTCTTATGAAGTTCGGAGAAGAGCTTAGAAAAGTATGTGTATCCGAATGTAAAGTCACTCCTCGGTGAAGCCTTCCCAGTCCTCACGAGCAGCAGTTTTGTTTCCCCCTCCCATAGCATCTTAGAGTTACCCTAAGGCCACCATGAGCTAATTTATCCATCCTGTCACTCTCATTAAATAGGGAATCCTCGGTGCTTCCAGCTTGTTTATCCAATGACTGTATTTGAGGTGTCAGAACGGTACAGGAAGCTTTTGATCTTATAAACACTACCTTAATAGTCACTGAGCCACTTAGAAACTCTCTCCATTAATTCCTCTGCATTTACTTAATTAAAGGATTTGTTAAATCTCAAGTTAATTTCATTGTCTAACGGGCCGTCGCCAGGTATTTCCTGTTCCAGGATGTCTTCTCCATGACACTTCTCTAGGTCAGCATCGCTGCAAGTGCTTTTCTCAAGATCTGGGAGGCGGTGGAAGTCCAGCTCCCAAGTTCACTATGGGGCGGTGCCTTTTTGCCACGTATCTAACTGGGCCAAAGGTCGTAGCTCCAACTCTTGCAACTGTGGCCAAGGGGTGACTCCCCGCCCTCGCCTCGCAGGAACTCTTCCAAATGCAGACTCACGGTGCCGACCACAGGCCTCAGAACCAGACGGGTTGGATTGGGGCCAGAGAGGGAGAATTTAGGGACGCCCCCCTCCTTCGGCTGTCCCCGCGTTGAAGCTGCTAGACCAGCGACCCCGCGCTCGCCCCAGTGGGTCCGACCCAGGTTCTGGGAGCCAAGGGGCAAGGCCCAGCCCCTTCTCCCACCCTCTCTAGCCCCAACAGCTCAGCCCAAGTCCCGGGGGCCGATGCAGCCGGCCTCTCAAGCGCGCGCCGGCTGGTTCCCAGCCCCCAGGAGCGGTGTGCGTGTCGCGGCCCGGCCCTGCAGCCTCCCGGCTGGCGCAGCTGAAGCGGGGCGGGCACTCACCTCGAGGCCGGCGGCACGCTCGGCGCACAGCGGCCGCCCCACAAGCGTAGGGCCCTGCGGAGGAGGCGTGTGGCCATGGCTGGGACAGCGAGGGGTGGCAGGGGCGACGGACTCGTCTTCTCGGTGACTCCGAGCGCGCAAGGCCAGGCGCCGGGCCAGCGGACTGTCCCCAGGACCTTCCTCCGTGCAGTCCCGCCGGAAAAACGTCGCGCAGCCGCCCTGGTAAATGCGCCCTGGGCGCCCTTCCGGAGCCCGGAGCCGCGATCTCCTGTGGCCCGGCGGGTGGCGTGTCGCCGAGCGTTGGGACACGCCCCTCTCTAGAATCTTACCAATGGAAAGATCCTAAACGCAAAACGGTTCAACTTTTCCCTGCGGCGTTTTTGTATATCTAAGCTGTTCTTTTTCTTTTCTTTCTTTTTTTTTTTTTTGTTAGGAAGATAGAGTTTATTAAAGAGAAGGGTCGCTGCAAGAACAGCTGGCCGACTTCCTGGTAGCCAGGGAACGCCGACCCTGAGCGTGGGTTGCTTGTCTGGTTTGTTTTAACATCTTTATTGAGAGTATAACTGCTTTACAGTGGTGTGTTAGTTTCTGCTTTATAACAAAGTGAATCAGCTATACATATACATATATTCCCATATCCCCTCCTTCTTGCGTCTCCGTCCCTCCCACCCTCCCTATCCCACCCCTCTAGGTGGTCACAAAGCAGCGAGCTGATCCGAGCCAGCAACCCCACTACTGGGCAGATACCCTGCTTGTCTGTTTTTATAGCCAGAGAACAAACGGACTTCTGTCACCCGCTGATTGGATAGGATCTGCATGTTTCCAGTGGGATGAATACCTTTCTGTATATGGTATGGAAAAGGAGCAAGGCATGCTGCTTGGGAACGCTCAGAGATGTTGCAATGGTTGTTGCATGACAGAGTGATAAGGGTCTGGTAACTCTGCTCTTTTCAGAATTCTGAAC